GAGAGAGAGAGAGAGAGAGAGAGAGAGAGAGAGAGACATTAACTAAGTTTTTTTTTTTTTTTTTTTTTTTTAATGATTTCTTTGCAGCTCTTGAGAAAGTCTATTTTACAAAGAGGAAAACCTGTGGTTGAAGGCTCTCTGGAAAAGAAACCCCCATTTGAAAAACCTAGTATTGAACAGGTAAAAAGATAAAAAGAAGCTCCTTTTTACTGGTTTAAGGCTGAAGAAACCTTTTAATCTTCCTTACATATTTCTGTACACGTCTTCCATCCTCCACACCGGCAGAGAGTTGTTCACCAAGTCTGTAGAAATTGACTTGAACTCTCTGGATCAGAAGTACATGCCTAATTTGATAAATGACCTATCTTTTTGTCTTTTAGGGTTGTTGTACACTCAGAATTCACTGTGTGTTTGAGGAAGAAAAAAATTAAGTAGAACGTGTAGTTCATAGGAACACATGAGATGTGCTTTTTTTCTTGTTTTAAAATCAAGTCTTTGTCCTTTTGTTTGGCACTGTCTGAAAAAGCCTATTGAGGTGAGGGAATTCAGTAGCAATGTGAAAAATCTTGTAAGTCAAGCAAAAAAGAAATGAGATTTTGTACCCTGAAATTGACTTCCTGCTACATTATGATTCCTGGAAAGAAGCTGTTTTACTCAGGGAATCTGTGAAAATGTATAGACTTTTTCTGTTTGGTGTTGTCAGCATCACTTTTTAGCTTTTCATTGTTTGGCTAAATAAATCTCAAAACACTCTGTACTGAATTTCTTGATGAGAACAATAACAGAAAACATGATACCAGAGTCCTTAAAAATAAATGTATTTTTATCAGTCACTTTTCCGAAGGATGACGTTTATTTTGCCTCCAAACTCTATTAAATAGAAATCCATTGTTCTTTTATTTGAAATTAGATGAGATGTGAGTGTTCTGCAAAAATGTTAAATTAATCCACAGCTTTTTAAAAAAGAACATAATTTTGAATACAATTTTTATTTTTTTTGTAAGTTTGCTAAAACCAAGAATCACAATAAAGCGTTTACATCTTAGTGGTTTAGTTAGGTAGAAGGCATATAGCAGCCTTTCGATTAGGATTTTCATAACGTAAAAACATGATATTTATCCAAGATCTACATTATATATGTTACAGTGTTGATAGTGTAGCAAGAATTATTGTGCACAACAGTCATATTTTATTGTTTAAGGGGTTTTGACCTTTTTAGTTCATGGCTCTGATTTTCTCTTTAATGCTCTAGAATTGCAGCAGGCATAGAATCACAGCTAATAGCCTCTCTGTCTTGTCACTTTTCATCCACTGTGATCTGAGGCAAGACTCCCTTTGGGCATTACTGGGGTTTTTTTTAGGGAAAAGGAAGAGGTTTCTGTGAATAGAGAAATGTCTGTTCTTTTGTTAATAATCACCAATGGTGCTGGCTTGGTGGGTGTTCAGAATCACTGTGGTTGCATAGCTGCATGAATAAATTGCCTTCCCTCCTTTTAAGGGTGTGAATAACTTTGTACAGTACAAATTTAGTCACCTGCCATCAAAAGAAAGGCAAACAATAGTTGAATTGGCAAAAATGTTCCTAAACCGCATCAACTATTGGCATCTGGAAGCACCATCTCAACGAAGACTGCGATCTCCCAATGATGATATTTCTGGATACAAAGAGAACTACACAAGGTAATTAGATAACAGGTCCTTTTCCTTTGGCCTCATAGAGCACATTACAGACAAAATTGCTGCTTGTCTCTGCAAGTAGAGGGTTGCCCATTTATCATGGTGACTCCATCAATTTGGAGAGAATGTACAATTTAACTTACAAAATCAAACTTTTCATTAATATCTCAATATTGGTGGGGGGTGTAAGGGATCCAAATCATCTAGATCCAGTATGACAGTTGCAAACCACATGTGGCTTTTGAACACTTGAAATTGGCTAGTTTGAATTGAAGATCTCTAAGATTGTACAAAAAAGAGTTTAAAATAGCTCATTAATAGCTTTTTTATATTGATTACATGTGGCAATGATAGTATTTTGGATATATTGGGTTATATGAGATATAAAAGTTAATTTCACCTATTTCTTTTTACTTTTTCAATGTGACTACTAGAAAATTTAAAATACATATGTGGCTTGTGTTGTTTTCTGTTGAACATCACTGACTAGAAAACTATACTATAACCCTGTGATTAATATATGGAGCCCTCACTCAAAAAAAAAAAAAAATGCAATAACCATTACTATATGGAGTTAAAGAATTTTTTTAAAGAAGAAAAGATTATCAAGTCCCAGCACCATGTTGGAACTGATATCGTTATACATATTCAAGTCTTTGCTTCTTTAAATAAATATTTTATATTAGTTATGATGAAAGAAAATATAAAATTTTGTTTTTGCGGCTGGCTGGTTTGGGGATCCGAACCCTTGACCTTGGTGTTACAGCACCATGCTCTAACCAACTGAGCTTAATTGGCCAGACTTCTTGTATCCTTTTTGTCCCCCCACTTAACATCATATCAAATATTTCATGGGTTACATTATAGTCCAATGAGTTGATGTGTGAAAATTTACCTAGTCATTTCTGTGTTATTGAACATTCAGATTATGCAAATATTCTTGGATTGAACATATATATTTTTTTCTAAAGTGAAAATTTATTTTCATTGCTTACAAACTGCAGAATAATAGAATTGGCTTTATAAATCTTGAACAGGGACCATACAAAATGTAATGACCTACATTTATTTTCATTTAAATGAGAGAGTGATTGGATCATCCATTCTATTCATAACTTTTCCCCATTTATATTTTAGAGGCACATAAAGCTTACTTCAGAGGACATAATGGAGTTTTTGTATTTTTTTTTTTTTTTTTTCCTGGTTTAAAGTAGGCAGTGTCAGGCTGGCTGGTTAGCTCAGTTGGTTAGAGTATGGTGCTGGTAACACCAAGGTCCAGGGTTTGATTCCTGTACTGGCCAGCTGTCAAAAAAAAATACACAAAACAAACAAAAAAATAAAAAAGTAAAAAATATAAAGTAAGCAGTGTGTTTTGATAGCCTGTCAAGACCACTTATGCCCAGGTTATTTTCTGTAACAGAAGATGACACGGAGGCATGAGTATAATTTAAAATAGCTTTCCTCTCTGTCACTGACCTGATTTCATGAGTAATACCCTTTCTCCCTCCTTTTGTACTATATACAATTTGAGTTCTAAAGTATTTCCCCCTTAATAACTGATATTTATAGGAATTACAGATTTCTTTAAAATCAGTTTTTAAAAATTATAGCTTTATTTCTTCATCTTGTATTTTAAGTTTTCACGTTAACAGTAGTTCTATATATTGTCACTCTTGCTTATAATAAGAGTTAAGATAATAAATCTCTCAAAAATATACATCTTTTAACCCCATCTGTGAACAATTGGCAAAGCTGAATATTTGTCAAAGCCAAACTCCTGTATGTATTTGCCACTCTTACCAAGAAAATAATTGTTTCATCAAGAGAAGGGAGAATTAAATATGAAGCAGTATGGGAGACATTACTGTAGTTTTGAAAACAATAAAAATACTAGGCAGCATTTGGGAATTACCAAGAAATGGGTGGTAACTTACAAATAGTTAAGTAGCAGTAAAAATAGAAATCAGGCTTTGAATAAGCGCTGGGTTTGAATCGTGATTGACTCCGTCTCTCCCTAGTGCTGTGAGCTTTAGACCAGTCACTTCACCTCCCTGACCTTCGGTTTCTTCCTCTGTCCAAGCCTCGTGAGTGTTGTGGGTACTCCACAGGTGGTTTGTGCCTAGTGTCTGGCACACAGAACAGGTGCTGGGAACGTACCTGTCAACGTTTTCCTCCCATGCACGTCGTTCTCTAAAACTCAGCCGCCTCCAATTTGGGGCTGTTAAGCTAGCGCCTCGGATGTACAATTGAATGAAGTGTAATTATTTGAATATCACTTTTGAAACTAAGATAACGAGGAATAGAAAGACAGTAGAACAGTCCTTTGTAGCATCCTGAGCCCATGGATGAAGGCAGAAGAGTGGAGTCAGACAACGGTGAAGAGAAACCGGCAATGATCATGCCCTGATGAGTCCTGAAACCTGCTGATTTCCAGGTGGAACGTAGACCGAGAGCTCCTGTTAATAATAGATAAGGAAATGAAGGTAGATGATACCCACCTCCCCCGCTTCCCCCCCATCACGCCGTGTGTATGAAGAAAAGGAAGCAGAAAGGAACAACGTGTGAAAATGAGGAGAATCAATAACTGTTTCAGAGTAAAACCTCATTGCCGTGACCACATTTGGGAATTTAAGAAACCACACACCACCCAGCATGGTGTCTCGCTGATACTAATCATCTCAGAAATGGGTAATAGCACAGGCTGCAGGCACCAGCAGCCTTTATCTTGATGCTGCTATAAGAGAACTTCAGATGCTGTAATGCTGGTTCAGCTTATAATTTACAGCGGTTACCATAGCAATTAGAACAAAGGGGCCAAAAACTTCTGGAGCACATCATCAACATGAAAATGGGGGTGACATAGGACTCTCTATGGAAAAGACTCAGAAAATGATTGTGTTCATTATAGAGCTGACCTGTGAAGATTTATCCAATAAAAAATAAAAAGCAGATTGAGCAGTAGAACTGCTTAAATTACTTATACTCTCTCTCCTGAATAAAGGAAAAAGATAAATATTCTTATATAAGTGTGTATTAACTACACATTATATATACTCCAAGAAATCACTCTGGTTTAGAATAAAATCTGGGCAAGTATTTAAAATTCCCTGAGTTTCATGATAGTGCACTAATATATTTCCATGAGGAAATAACCGAAAAGAAGGTGTCAGGGGAATATGACTTCTTAAAATACATCTGACCAACAACATCTGCTGTAGGAAAATGGCAATGAGTCTCAGATTTTGAGTTGTTCAGAACTTCTGAAAGTTAAAGGTTACCCTCATAGAGCAAGTTAGATATAAGTAACTTGATTTGGGGAAACAGTTTTATGTAGCCACTGTTCTATGCACTCTGGCCTATCACCATGCATACTGAGCATTCATAATTAGGCATGTAAGTCTAACATAGTATTTATCAGGAGGCATGGAAAGAACACTAGAGTAGGAGGCAGGGGATCTAGCTTCTAGGCTGAAATCTAATAGTGACTGGTCTTTAGTTGCTGTGAACTAGGAGATGTCACTTAATTCCTGAAGACCATAGGATTTTTCAGTCCAATAAGTTAATAGAACTATATGGTCTTCTGAATTCAAATTTTCCAATTCTATTCGTGTTTTTTTTTTTTTTTCCCTTTTGGCAGCTGGCCTATATGGAGATCCACTATTCTATTCATGTTTTAAAGAAAGCAAGGAGGTTACAAATCATAATGATGATGTAAAAAATCTGAGAGAGTTATTTGAACAATCAGTAAATAGCATATAAATGCCATCTCTATTCAACAAAAAAATTAACTAACATTTTTCTTCTTTTTTGGAAATGTGAAATCAGTCATTAGCTAAAATCTTTTCTAATGGTTAAGTCTTTTTTTTTTGTCTTTTTTACTGACCGGTAACGGGATCGCAACCCTTGGTGTTGCGCCCGCACCGCGCTCCCAAGCGGCACACTCTCCAGTGCGCCACCGGGCCGGCCCTAATGGTTAAGTCTTTGAAGGAATGTGTGTGTCCACACATGCCCATTTCCTTTTCTCTATCTCACTACATGCAATGATCATGTCAATTTATTAATACAACACCAAACACACACATGCACATGCATCGACTTAGTCTCCTTGTTTTATATACTGTGCACTTTACAGATTATGAAATAAGATTACTCTTGGAAGTAAAAACAAAACTCAGAAGCATGGATTGAGTCTATAAAATGACTCTCAAAGGAGATGAATGGGAACCTATTATTTGAAAATTTTTACTAGATAATTACAATGTATAATAATAATCTTCCCTCTACCCTGGGAAGATTGAATGACCTGTTAAGCACTTTTCGGTAACATTTCATGATTTAATGATAATATTTATAACCTATCATCTCTGTAGCAGAAATAACATCAGTCTGAGTCTCAGACATCTGGGCACCCCTCCATAGATGGAAGTGCTCTTTAGACTCTAAATCAGCACTACTCAGTAGACATATAATGTGAGCCACAAATGTAAGCCACATACATATGTATGTAATTTAAAATCTTCTAGCAGCTGCATTAAAAAAATAGATACTGGAAATCAGTTTTAATAATGTTTTATTTTATACAATATATTAAAAATATTATTATTTCACCATGTAATATGAAAACTTTTTACGGATGTATTTCTACTTTCTTTTTTTGTACTTAACAGCATATCTTAATTCAGTTGCCAAATTTTAAACAGTTAAAGCGAAAATAGTGTCCTACCAAAACAATAAAGTTGTATTTAATGGAAAAAATACTGTACACTGTTTCCATTTGAAAGTAAAATTGAAATTGATTAAATAAAATTAAAAATTAAGCTCCTTAATCTTATTAGCCACATTTCAAGTGCTCAGTAGTTACGTGTGGCTGGTTGTTACTCTGTTAGCATGGATATAGAATAGATTCATCATCCTTGACAGTTTTATTGGACTGCACTGGTCTAAATCCTTAAATCTTTCATTGAAGAAGATTGGACATATTTTGTTATGTTTTTAATATTAAGTGTTACATACAGTTATGTGATAGCCTAAGTCTCATGAAATTGAACTTCTGATTATTCAGATTTGTGACTATTTAACTTTTTACATTTATAAATCATAATTAGTTTTTTGGGAGCTGGCCTCCTCTCAGCCCCAAATATTCTTCTAACTTTAGTAAGTGGTCACAGACTAACATCCAGCAAAGATGAGCTTTGAAGGTGATGAATTTCTATATGAAGTACCTTATGGATTACAAAATAAATGCACTTCTTAGTTTTTTCTGCTCCCACGGTCACTGCTTCAGTCTGGATAAGGTACAACATAACACTAAAGATTCCTGTTTCAGCATTGTAAACATAAAATGGTATTTGGTTGTAAATTAAGAGAGAGAAGTTGTGAAAGGAAACAAATAGTAGCAGGGTTTGAAGGTGAATTTTGAATGTAGACAGATGAACTAACACTGATGAAAGTTTTCTTCCCCAAAGGTGAAAAACACCACCACAACCACCACCTCCACCACCAACACACAAACAGGGAAAGTATAATGTAATGCAGAAAAAGAGAAAAAATAAGTCAATAGGCGTGAGTAAATAATTATCCCACTCTTCATTAAGGGGCTCGAAGTTGATCGGGAGCTTTCTGTACCAGCTGCGGCATGTTAGAGAGCTTCCCCCACTTCAAAGGAGAACAGGAAAGCACATAGGGAGGAGAGGTGTTAATTTTTGGAAAGCAGTCCTGTCCTAGAAGAGGATGATTTGGATCTGCTACCAAGGAATAAGGATCCGTGAAATAGCCCCTTTGAACTTTTCCTGGTACGGTGTCGCCTTCCGTGACTCCCACTGTTACATTCATGTTGCTGGATCCTGGGAATTTCAGATCTTGCGTCTCTGGGAAACCAAAAAGAAAGAGGGCCTGTTTGAATAGACTTTTACTCTCTAGCTTCTGCTGGCTGAATGAGCTTTCTAAATTAGATGACCTATATACCAGCACACCCTAGGACTGTGATCAGATCTTAAGAACACCTCTGGTTTCCCTGTGGCCTGGCCCTCATCCAGCCTCGTGCAGTGCTGAAGCGCAGTTTTGATTTTGAGTCTGAGTCATTGAAATGTGTACCTGGGTGACAGATAGTGGAAACTCATCACTTCCTGCATTTTGACTGAGTTTTGAACAATCTTGACGATCTTTATCTTCCCACCGAAGATTTGGTAATATGTGTGTGCTACATAGGCATTTTAAAGAAATCTTACATTTTACTCAGAGGAGTAGCTGGTGAAATTCAGATTCTTTATCAAAAAAGGAAATTCCTCAGCTTCTCCTTTAATTTTTCTTTTATTTAAACTACGATTTACATTCCAGAAACTCTAATTACACCATGCATTTTATAAACAATACCTCATTTAATGCTCACAAGAACCCAGTGAAGTGTAGGTATTGTTGTTTCCCCCATTTTACAGGTAAGGAAATGGAGGCTGAATAACATGATTAAATTTCCAAAGTTATGCTGTCAGTTAAGTGGCAAAGCAGGGATATGATCCCTTGGCTGTTTGACTCCAGGACTCACTGCATGATGCTGCGGAAGAGGATAGAGGATGATTTTTAATAGAACTGGACCCAAGTGGTGGCACGAGGGCAAGCTAACCTACTTCCCAAGTTTCACTAGCTGGTAGTGATATTGTTGCTTGTCATTACAGGCCTAGTTTATTCTGCTGTGGTTGATAGCAGGAGAGTAACCATAATTAGATATTTCAGACAACTTGTGAGTTCACAGATATTGATGGTGCTTGTCTCCTCTTGTCACAGGTGGCTGTGTTATTGCAACGTGCCACAGTTCTGTGACAGTCTACCTCGGTATGAAACCACCCAGGTGTTTGGGAGAACATTGCTTCGCTCGGTCTTCACCGTTATGAGGCGACAGCTCCTGGAACAAGCAAGACAGGAAAAGGACAAACTGCCTCTCGAGAAACGAACTCTAATCCTCACCCATTTCCCAAAGTAAGGGAGAGCTCTTGCTGGTCTTGGATCCCTGGGCTTGAGGTTGCTAAAGACATGCCAAAGCCTGCATAAATAACAAGATTGGGAATGACAGGAAAAGCATGCCAGGGAGGAGGGAGAAAGGACCTTCAGTTCCCTTTGTGAATGTTCTTGGGTATTTTCCCATCCGTTTATTAGCTTGATTTTGTGTTGACTGCAGTCACAGCTCCCTTAGCCCCACCTCACCCTACCTGGGTCATTTTCTCTGAGTCTCATAGAATGGAGCAGTGCTTTGTTTTGCGTATTTAGCTGCCAGGAAGCTACAGGAGGATGAGAGAGAATGTGTAGATGCAGTTTTCATCTGCTCAGAAGCAGCGCAAGAGAGCTCAAGTGGCTGTTTTGTTCCATCCCAGTTCTCCAACCCTTTCTAAGCGCTGGTGAACCACCCTTCCTCAGCTAACAGTAGGCCTGCCCCACACCCTTTGGAAACTAGACTGCAAGAGCAGGGCTGAACAGGCATAGAGGTTTCCTTCAGCATGAACTTTATACCTGTAAACTCAATCATTATTATTATTTTTAGTTTTGGCAGTTGGCTGGTAAGGGGATTTGAACCCTTGACCTTGGTGTTATCAGCACCCTGCTCTAATCAAGTGAGCCACCCAGCCAGCCCTCTAAACTCAATTTCTTGTAGAATATACATGCTCTTATGCCCCTTGCTTCTTGCACCTGCCAGTGCTCCAAGACATAAGTAATCATTTGAATTACTTATGAAGGAAATGTGTCAAAGCAATGGGAAGTTGCAGCGCTGCACCATTGACATTGGAAACGCATTTTCAATGCTAAGAACAAAAATTTAAACTGAGAGGTTGGCTACTGGCAAAAGGGGTTGAGGGTGCAGTTGATGACTTTTCCTGGAGCAGTGACAGCAAGACATGAATGAGACAGTTCATTTTGTGGTTGTCATTCTGCTCAGATCAGTGCTTGGTGGGGAAGGTATAAGGTATAATTTGAAAAGGCTCTCTGCGTATGATAGAGCCTTCTTTCCCCACCCCATCAAGAACTGCTGATGTACAGAATAGAATTTGAGGGGAGGAATTATATCTTTGGTTGCAGACTGACGAAACCCTGTTGTATTTGAGAAACTAGATTTTTATTATTAAGATACTATTATTGGATTACCCAATTTGTGTGTCAGGAAAGATAGTTTTAATTCTTAAAAATAAGTTAGGTCCAAAAGAAAAAAGAACAAAAGAAAATGGGAAGAAAAGGTTAGGTCCAGAACAGCAAAAACAAAAATGGTTTTCTGATAGAATTGGACTGAAAATTCCTTGGCAGTTTAATACAGATCCTAAACTTTAGATAGAGGAGTCATGGGTAATACTGATGGGCTTTAGCTAAATACCCAATGATTGCACATGTATCCTAGCATCCTGATTGTCAAATTTTTCTTAAGACAACCAGCACATGAGACTGAGGCATGTGATGAACATTTTGGTGTTGTCCAGAGAGGAAGATTCTGAAGCTCTTAAACTGCAGTTTGAATATTGCCCCTAAAATGGGTTATGAATTCTGGGCATGCTCATGTATTTCAGTGGTTGTCTTTTAACTGGTCTAAGCTCCTTTCCTTAGAGGTTAAAGCAATTTTTGTACTTCTCTAGTACATTTGCCACATAAGCAGCATTTTATATTTTCAGGTGATGTCATTCTGTTTCTAAGCCAAGGGACAAGGGACAAAGAGGACCCCCCACCCCCAACACACACATCTGTTATGGTGCTTAAGGAGAAATTTTAATTTCCTTGCACAGTAACAATTTTTTTTCCATAGCAAATTCATTTTGCTTCTTGCAGATATTTGCTAATTATAGTGTATTTTGTTCCTTCAACCCATAGTTCTGGCATGCTTATGCTGTTGAGCTAGAAAATCAGCGCTGCTTTCTTTTCTTCTCTATTACTAATGGTAGGGTAAAACTACCACCCACTTCTCCTTTTAAATCCCTTTTCATTGAATATGACAACATTTGAGGCTGCTGGGGATTTATACCTACAGTTTTGGCAGCAGAATCACACATGTTGAAGTCTGAGGTGCTGTTTGAGTCTTGGGCGCTGTCTCAGAGTGAGAGCTGGGACCAGCTGCCCCAGCCCTCAGTGAGGTCTCCGTGAGTCTCCGATGCATTTTGAGGGCTTGCCTCCTTATCTTCCTATTCATCTGCTGCCTTTTCTTCCACTTGGCTTTAACATGCACCTTGCACCCCATCCATCTGTTTACAAGGTTGTTTTTTAAAAGTTTAGCATCTGTACTTCTTTCTAAAAGTGATAAATGCACATGTTGAAGAAAATTTGGTTCAGAGAAACAGAAGAAAAAGACCACCCATCGCCTCGCCACTGTCAACTACATTTAGTGCTTTTAGATATTTCTATTTTTTCTCCATGTATTAGAAAAAGAATTTAGTAAGCCTAGCTGGGACTCGGGTATCTGTATTTCTAACGAGGCCTCCAGGTGATATCTGTGGGCCCCCAAAATTTGAGATTCATTTGGTTTATAATGTGACAGTAAGGTAGCATAGTAATTAATCACTGGATCCAATCCTGGTCCTGCCATTTAGTAGTTGTGGGAATTGGGCCAGTTATTTAACCTTTCTGTGCCTTAGTTTTTTTTTTAATCTATAAAATGGGTATAGTAATGGATCCTATCTTATAGGGTCGTTTTGAAGATCAAGTGAATTAATATACATCACCCTGTACAACACTGCCTATCACATAGTAAGAATTATATATGTCTGCGATAACTAAAAATAAAGTATATAACTCATAGGGTTGATATGAGGGTGCAATAGAAGTTCTCAGAGCAGTGCAAGGACAAAGCAAGCACTCGATAAATATTAGCAACTTTTATGATGGTAATGACAATGACAATGACAGCTGCATGGAGGGCTGAAATCTTGCTCTGAGACTTACTGAGTAAGAGTAGTGCATTTTCACTAGTGCAGTGCTCTGTGTGTCCTATGTTGTGTCAAGCTAGTTAGGGTCAAAAGATGATAAACTTATAGAAATGTCTTTCTGGATTTGAATATACCAGGGCCGCCTAATAGGTCATCATTTGAGTCATAGTTCTCTAGTACATTTCTGAGTTGAAGGTGAGATGCTGATGTTAAGGTGATTGCCATAGATGGTTAGGGCTTTTGTCTTCCTAGTAATACATTAGGTTTTTTTTTTTTTTTAAATATCTTACTATTGTTCTTATTCTTCTATCTAGGTTTTTATCTATGTTAGAAGAAGAAGTTTATAGTCAAAACTCTCCCATCTGGGATCAAGATTTTCTCTCAGCCTCTTCCAGAACAGGCCAGCTAGGAATCCAAACAGGTAAATCTCTTGTTATATAAATAAGAGAACAACCAGAAAGAGCAACCTGAAGTGATAGTTGCAGCTCACTCTGTATTTATTTGTGTTTTTCATCAGAAAATTGAAGACTAAAGCCAGCAGAAAAGCTAACACTTTGGCATATATTGCATCTGCATCCCTATTAATGAGGAGAAAGCAGGTGCAAACCAAAATCTTGCCATTGTGTCTCTATTAATGAAGAGTGCAGGTGCAAATCAAATAGTTAAAACAATAACAAGTAGAGGATTTGCTTAGCTTGCACATTACAATTTAATGAGAAGTGTAAAATATCAGGCAACTGAACTCTGTAGTCAAGTTCTGGCTCTTTTTGAAGACACTTATAGTCTCAGTCAATGGCCAGATATGCCCAGGAATCAAGTCCCAGTTTGGCTTCTTAATCTATGATGTCTGTTTTATACATCCAACTACTCCCAGGGATAATGGTGGGGCAGTGGGTGGAGAGGGCAGTCCTGAGTCTCAGGATATGAAATTTTTTTCAGTGGGGCCAGGGCATCCTTGCCATTGCCTTGAGTCAGCCAGTGGCATCAGTTAGCATTTTATGAGAAAGGAAAAACGATGCTTTCTGGAGTCACAGTAATCCCCCAAAGAGGATCTGAATTCCTGCCTTTTTCATTAGGAAGACTCAATGGAGAAATTTGGCAAGAAATGTCAAAGCAGCAGTTTATATTTGGCCGTGGGGAAAGACAGAATGCAGAATTTTTATATCAACAGTTTTTCCTTGAGCTCTAGCTCAATGTGCAGTATGGGGGCTAGTGAGTTAGGGTACCAGCAATGGTAATTTTATTCTTTAAAAAAAAAAATCAAGGTATAATTTACATACAGTAAAATTGACCCTTTTTAGTGTCTTGTGAGTTTTGGCAAACACATGTAGTTGGGTAACGATCACTGCCATCAAAATAGAGAACAGGTGCATTACTCCGGACGATTTCCCTTGTACCCCTTTGGAGTGCATTCATTGTCCTGCCTCTCCAGTCCTGGCAACCCTGATCTGCTTTTAATTTCTATAGTTTTGCCTTTTCCAGAATGTCATATGATGGAATCATATAACTTTTGAGCCTGACAACTTTCATTCAGAATAATGAACTTGAGAAGGTGGTTGTTAAAAAAGTTTTTTCATCTAGAGCCCAAGTTGGGATGTAAATGTAATTAAATCCCTACAGAGCAGAGTAGTTAGGGAATGAGGTATTTTGATTTGGATCAAACCCTTTTTGTTTGAACTTTTGTTACCAAAGACATTCAAAAACATCTTTATGCCACCCCCCGCCTTTTTTTTTTTTTTCACCTTAGGTCATAATTTCGTGTATTTTTTTCCCAAAACTGTGGTGCTTTAAGGCCTATCTGCACTTATTACATGCTCCTTCCAGACCTGAGCAGTTAACGTTTACTGGACATATTCTGTGTGGTTACTGGACATATCCTCTGCATTGCTGTCTCTGTACCTGTGATATTCACCCTACCTTTGTCTTGATCTTACCTGGCTTTGAAATGGCATCTCTCCTAATTCCTCCCATACCCTCTGCATGGACTGTATCTCCTTTCTTCCAAACTTTCACAAAACCTTGAATATATCCTATTCTTGGTTCTTAAATATGGCTGCACAATGGAATCATTCATGCAGTTTTGAAATATACTGATTTCTGAGTGCCATCCCAAGAGAATGTGATGTTATTGGCCTAGGGTGTGGCCTGGACATTGAGACTTTTAAAAGCTCCCTACGTGATTCTACTGTGTGGTAGCATTTGAGAACTACTATGTCATATGCTTACTTTATGTTATCCTAGCCCCATTTTTTCTGTAAGTCTTTTCTCTCCTATCAGTGCAACTCCTTGCAGGTCAGAGATCCAGTTTTGCTAATAATAATAACAATAATTGATACTTTCATTGAGTGCTTGCCTTTGAAGCTTACTTTATATCTTTAAGCCTTCTCATAAACTCTGGGAGGTTGAAATTATTATCACCTTTACATAGTTGAGGAAATAGAAGCTCACAGAGTAGCAACAACTTGCCCTAAATCAGAGCTCTTAAGTGACAGACTGGGTTTCACATCTGGGTCTAATTCCTAACTACGTCAAGAGCCAGAGCTCTAACCACTACATTGCACTGTCTTGATGTGCATTGCAAATGTGAAGCATATGCTTGTGTAAGGAATGAGTGAAGGACATAGCTTCCTCCTTCAGGCAGGAGGACACCAAAACTGTTTAGCAGAATCCACTTACTTCTCTTCTGGAGGATATCTGGAGAGGATTTCTGTGTGTGTGAAAACTTCCCTTGACCCTTGCCTGCTCAAAACCCTCCCAGTCTGCTCAACTTCAGGCCACATTGTTGTCTATCAGCACAGGATGGAGAAGGCAGAGGTTGTCTTTGACCATATGGGATTTTCATGTTTATTTCTGTGGCTTAGGTTGTCACCCAGTTAAGCTGGATTGTACACTTCAGTATTACATGAAGCCATCAGCAGGCTGTCTTCTCCTGTTCTACTGTAATTGCAATGCATTCCCTTGGGGAGAAAGAAGAGTGTAATCATCTACTTAATTGGCATGGCTGCACATCGATGCAACTGTAATAAACGACATTCATAATGATGGCTTTGAAGTTCTGCAGGATACTCAGATGTCTTCTGAATCACCAGAGCTTCCTCTTTGTTCAGAATCACTCCCATGTACTTTGAAATTCAGAAGGCCTGTATGCTGGAAGAAAAACTTATAGCTTGGTCCTTTAGTATATTCTGACTCTTTACATACAAAACTTTTCAGTTAGAAATGTTGTGGGTTTATGTCTCTCTGTTGCTTGGTTTACTTAATTCAGCACCTTCTTGACTTCTGGGAATGATGTCTGCAAACTGAACTGAGGCTGTGTTAAAACTTAGATGAGCATTTTCTCTGGGTACCTGTCTATACTGCCACACTGTGTCCTGTGTTTGACCAGTGTTACTGACAACATCCATACCTCTTGTCACCTCTCACCTCTCAGCTACAAATCAGCCACACAACTAGCAAAGCAGCATCCTGCTCTGTACAATGGCCTTTAAAACAAAACAAAACTTTTTGTTTGTAAATACTCTCTAACTTATAGAAGAGGTACAATAGCAGGATAAAGAAATTCTGTATATTTTATTCCCGTTACCCAGATTCATCAATTGTTAACATTTTGCCATATTTGCTTTAGCATTACCCCACCCCTACCACCTCTCTCTTTCTTTATCCCTCTACCTCTCTCTCTATATATACTGTATTTCCCCACTAAATTAAGTGTGTTTGTATCTTTTCCCCTAAATTAGTTGTAAGTTAAAAACATCATGCCCCTTTACTGACTTCAATGGTCTTCTCCCAACAACAGAGACATTCTCTTACATGAAAACAGTACAGTTATCAAAATCAGCAAGTTTTACCTTGATACAGTATTGTTATCTTATCTATAGCCTGTCATCTGTTTTTGCCTCTTATGTCAATAGTGTGGTTTACAGCAATTTTTCCATCGCATCACAAGGCATATGATGTAGGCTTGTCCCATCACTATGTGCCTTAAGTTTGATCACTTGATAAAGGTGGTGTTCCCCAGTTTTCTCAACTGTAGTTCTACCACATTTCCTTTTGTAATCAAAAAATACTTGCGTGGGGAGATGCTTTGAGATTACACAAATATCCTGTCTTTGTCGAAATTAAACTCATACGGTTTAGCCTAACACATAATCTAGTTACTATATGACAGCTTCCAAATGGGAATATTTTACTACTTTTTATCACTCCTTCCTTACTTATTTGTTGTCATTCTTTCATAAGGAAATGGTTTGCTTTCTCTCCACTTATTTATTTATTCTTTATTATTTGATCAATATGGACTTAGATACCCTTATTCTATACAATGAGTTATAATCCATTACTGTCTTTATTATCTTGATGCTCTGTGGCTTTTGTTTTACATAAGACTTCTTTGTGGTGTTGGGCAGGAATGGGATAGTCTCACATGCACTTGGTTCCTTGTTGCCTAAGAAAGGATCATCTAACACCTTCTTTTCCTTTTCTTGGGGCAGTTATCAATCCACCTCCTGTGGCTGGGACAATTTCATACAATTCAAACTCATCTTCCCTTGAGCAGCCGAATGGCGAGAGCACCAGTCCTTCCTGCAAAGCATCTTCGGGGCTTGAGGCAAACCCAGGTAAGCACTTAAGGGGGTATAAGAGAGAGCCCTAGGAGCTCCATTATCTGAAGAATGTCAAAGGTAGACTTAGACCACTATAGATTGTGCATGTCCAGGATTTTAATGGCTGGAAATCACTTCGTGTTAGACTTTGAGCTGTATTGGTTAGTTATTGCTGTGTAACAAACCAACCCAGAAATGCAGTCTTAAAACTGTAATAACTTATCATAACTCACTCATTCCATGTGTTGCCTGGTAGTTGGCTAATGTCAGGTAGTCTCACTTAATCTTGGCTGGCTTTCTCTCTGTTCTGGACTTGGCTTGGTTACAGAACATAAGCTAAAGCAACTCTGCTCCACATATTTTTATTGTCCTTCTGGGACCATTAGGCCGTGAAGAACGTGTCTTTCTTGTGATGATGGCAGAAGCATCAGAAAGCAAGGAGAGATACACCTTCTCTTGAAGCCCAGGCTTGGAACTGGCAAACCATCACTTCTGCCTCATTCTGTCATCTGGAGCAAGTCACATGGTCAAACTCAGAGTCAAGGAGTGGAGAAGTGGAGAAATGTAGTCTACTCCTTTCGTGGGAAGAACTGTAAAGGCACATGGCAAAGAGTGTGACTACCAGGACAGTAAAGAATTTGGCTGTTAATGTAATGTACCACATAGGGAAAAAAAAACATCTCTTAATCCTAGAACTGTTTCACAGTTATAGAATATTTTAAAGTTTGCATTTCTGTCCACCTACTTGACATGAAACAAATCTTGGATATGACCAATTTTTGAAATAAAAGAAGTGCCATACATGAAAAAGGGAGAGAGAGAAGAGGTCCTTATATGAAGTACGAACTCTTCAGCATGTGCCAGTATTCTCTCTCCCACTTCCAAGGGAGACATCACTAATCTGTGCAGATACTCTGCCAGCGAGCTTGGATGCAGCCTCTGATGCTTTCTTAACATAATGCAATTAGCAGTCTATCAGGTTTGGGGCATTTGAGGTACAAACCTCAGCTATTAAATAGTTTGCAGCATTACTCTCAGGGAGTCATGGAATTTGAAGATTTGTTGGTCAAATGTCTGAAAATATTCTCACTTATCTTCAAAAACAACAACAAAAAAAGAGTTATAAAAATAAGAACTTGAGCTGGCCAGTTAGCTCACTTGGGAGAGTGTGGTGCTGGTTAACACCAAGGTCAAGGGTTTGGATCCCCAACAGAGGCCATTTAGTAGGTAATGTGTAATATGTATGGAATCATCTTCTTTAGATGAGATACTTTATATTGCTGTGCTCCTTTTCAACTAAAGCTAGTGAAAATGCTATATGGAAATATGCTCAATGGAACTCACACGTGAGGAATAAATCAGATTCGATTGTCTAGAAATGTAAAAAATGTTAATTGTAAAAATAAATACATGTCATAACAGGGATAAACAGGAAAAACCAAACATGAGAGTAGAAAGAAAAAAAAAAAAAAAAAAAAAAAAAACCCACCACATAATCTCATGGATAAAGTGGAAGAAAGTTCTTTTTGCCTTTGCAAGGCCTTTGCCAGCATCGTGGCATGTTGAGATTGCATCTTATTCGTGGGCTAGTGACCCTGCTTATTTTGTGAGGCATCATTTTATAGCAAAAAAGCATTGTGAGAGGTAAAGTGAGTCATTTTATAATGAAAAAACTAAATTTACTATTTAAATTGCTTATTAAAGATTAAAAAATTCAGTAGTATATTTTAAATATATAATATATAGACACATTATATATAATATTTATGCATACACATACATATACATAACCTATGTGTATATATGTATATATGGGGGAGATTCACATAACTAAAAAGAGTAATAAATCAATAGTTGAAGGTTTGAACAAACATCTCTGAGTAATTAATAGATCAACTGGACAAAAATATCAGTAAAGATCTAGAAGCTATAAAAACATGATCAAAAAGCTTGAGTCAATGGACGTATAGAGATCATTAGTCCTAAAAACTGGAAAATACACATTATTTCCAAGAAGCCACTGCACATTTACCAAAAATTTGGTCTTGTTTTAGGCTATAAAGCAAGTATCAAAAAATTTTGACATTTTGGTATCATATGGACCCTGTTCTGTGATGACAAATGGAATGTATTAGAGATTACTAACTAGCAATAACTAGAATTACCCCTTGCATTTGCAAATGAAGAAACATGTGTCTTCATAGCTCTTGTATTAAGTTGAAAAATTACCACAGAAAATAGAAAATATTCCAAGTGATCTGGGGTTGGCAGTTACTGTGACCTCCTGCCTTCCCTTTCCCACTTCTACTGCACCCCTTCCCCTGGCAAAGGGAGAGTTCATCTCCATATCCATCTGTGCTCTTAGAAAATTAGTTGGATTAGTTGGCATGTATTATCTGTTTTGTGTTTAAAACTTCTCATCGTTTGCCTTTTATTTTGATCATCATAGGAGAAAAGAGGAAAATGAATGATTCTCATGTTCTAGAAGAGGCCAAGAAACCCCGAGTTATGGGGGATATTCCAATGGAATTAATCAATGAGGTCATGTCTACCATCACGGACCCTGCAGTGATGCTTGGACCAGAGGTCAGCAGGATAAACCTGGGCAGCCATCTGGTAGACCCCTTTGCTCTCCTGGCCAGTCTGGAGATGGGGGTAGTAATGCTGAGAGTGAGCATGTAATGCTACCCTGGTTTGCATTTAACCTGTAGTCATTGTTGGGAGGGCAGGAACAGCTGATCAAGAGGTGATTGCCCCAGATAAATATCACATCGCAGGGCCACAGAGTAATAATCTCACGCAGTTGAAAACATCTCCTCACCCCAACTTTTTATCTTGAAAAATTTCAAACCCTCACGAATGTTTCAAAAATTCTGTGATAAAAATCCATCGACTCTTCATTTAGACTTAGCAGTTGTTAACATTATGCCACATCTTTTTCATGTGTCTCTCTCTCCTGTGAACCGTTTGGAACCATTCCTGAGTTAAAAATGGATGGCAAAACACTTCAGTCCTAACAATTTTTTCATGTATCTCATAAGAATAAGGCTGTTCTCTTGCATAACCACAATGCAGTTATCACTCTTAGAAAATTTAGCATGGTTACAATATTTTCTAATGCAGGGTCAACAAACTACAATTCGCAAGCCAAATCTTGCCCACTGGCTATTTTTGGAAATGAAGTTTTATTGAAACATATTGTCTATCGCTGCCTTTGCAATACAACAGCAGATGTGAATATTTCAGTCAGGGGATGTGTGGCTCACAAAGCATAAAATATTTATTATTTGACTCTTTACTGAAAAGTTTGCTGTCTGACCCTTTACCTAATATATAATCCATATCCAAATCCCCCATATATCCAAATTACTTCCTTTATAGTATTTGTTGCTGTTGTTGAAGGATCAGTTAGAGAGTGTGATTCCATTTAATTCTTATGTTCTCATCTCTTTAGTCTCCTTTAATATAAAACAATTCCCCAGTCCTTTTTGCGGGGGGCTGGTCAGTACAGGGATCTGAACCCTTGACCTTGGTGTTATCAGCACCATACTCTAACCAAGTGAGCTAACCGACCAGCCCCTAGCCCTTTTTTTGATCTTTTGCAACACTGCCATTGTTGAAGAGTCTTGGTCACTAGTGTTGCATAGCATCCCTCTATTTGGATTTGTCTGATTGTTTACTAGTGATTATTATTATTTTTAAAATTTATTTTTTGTTTGTTTAGTAATGATTAGATTCAAGTAAAGCATTTTTGGTGCAGGATGGTTTAAGACATTTCTGACAGCTTCCAGAAACAAATGTCTTGGAGATTATTTTATAAATATCTTAAAAAAATTTTTTTAGTGTGGTTCTGCTAGGTTAAGTATCAATTTTTAATTTGTCATATTTCCTTAGGTATTTATTTTATGATATTGAGGATAATTCAGAGAACTGCAGTGTTGTAACAGATCTCATCATAAAATTGTTCTTTCCATCTTCTTCCAGATATCCAGTCTGTGGGGATTCAAGACTATAGTACCTTTGTATACCTGTTTTTTCTCCAAAAGATTTAGTACCTTCAAAGATTAGCCTAGCTTAGGTTTTTCAGCTTTAGAATATGTATTCACTGATATCAAAATGTGTTGGGTGGTTTTAGTAGTGTGCTGGAGCTGGCTTGTACTGGCATGCACAAAAGAATTGTTAATTTTTCAGGAATTTTGTGAGGTGGTTATTAAATATGTTGCTGGCTTGAAATTGACCACAGTGGCACCTGGTCACCTGGACAGCCAGCTGTAGACCAATAAAGTGAGCAAGTGCTACCAGTCAGAGCTTTTCTTCCATGGAGAGCTCTTTTTTGAATATTTGCCTACATACCCCACTGGGTGGATAAAAAAGGATGGGAGCATAAAGTCCCGGGACAAGGTTGTACCATGAGCTGTGAATGATTGGGAAGAAAACTGTCCTCCAAAAAGAGGTGCTAAAAATATAAATGTGACTGCCATTATTGGGACTGTAATGACAATGTGGGTTCTGTTATCCCAAGGGTCTTTTAAAGCTCAGTTAGATAGGGTTCCTCTAAACCACAGATTGCCAAACTACAGCCCATTGGCCAAATCTGGTCTGCTGTTTTTATTAAAACAAAGTTTATTGAAATACTACTGCATCCACTTAACATAATGTCTATTGGCTACATTTGCACTGTGGCTACATTTACAGAAGTTGAATATTTGTGAAAGAGACCTTATGGCTCACAGTGTCTAATATATTTTCTATTTGGCTCTTTACAGAAAAGTTTTCTGACCCCTAAGCTACACCAAATATCATTCATGTACATGTATGATACTCCGATTTTTCAAAATGCTTTACCTACCTTTTCTGTTTTGTCTTCATAACATGTGTGTGCGCGTGTGTGTACGTGTGCACATATGCATGTGTTTAGGACCCTGAAAATCCACAAATGTGTATCTTATTAGAACAAAGAAGAGAAACTTTGATGTGTCTCATCCTCACTGTCTTAAGAGAATAGCTCTGTGTAATTTTTTTCTGTCTCCTGCATCCCAGACCAATTTTCTGTCAGCGCATTCGGCCAGGGATGAGGCGGCAAGGCTGGAAGAGCGCAGGGGTGTAATTGAATTTCACGTGGTTGGCAATTCTCTGAACCAGAAACCAAACAAGAAGATCCTGATGTGGCTGGTCGGCCTACAGAACGTGTTCTCCCATCAGCTGCCTCGAATGCCAAAAGAGTATATCACACGGCTCGTCTTTGACCCGTAAGTGGGGCTGTACTCTTTCTTCTTCCTTATTTCCTTTTTAAATGAAAGGGGAACTGTTCAGAGAGTGAAAATCAGCCATAGCCACCCACTGAATCTTGCTACCTCCTGTCCTGCTGAGGATGCAAAACTACATCAAGCTAATTTTCATGTCTAAAAGCAGTAAGCTTAGTTTTTCAACAATTTATAAATTTTCTTGTTAATAATAATGACACTTTATACTTTAAGTTGTTGCTGACTATCTTGTGCTTTATGTATTATAGTGATGAGAGCATATAAACACTAAGAAGATGTCTCACTTTTTTCATAGTCAAAACATTCTTGGTTTTGGTATCTTAACTCGGTACTATGGTTGCCCAGGGATATAAGACAGATTAACTTTGAAAGTCCATTAAAAAAAAACACAAATGAAAAACAAAAAAAACCCCCTAAACTTCTTTAATTGAATGTATTTTAACATATATAGCCCAATAGCATATGTAAACTGTGATTCATGCATGTGAAAATTCAGAGTGACACATTAGACAGATGGTCTGAGAGAATTCCATAATGTAGGGTTTGGCAAATTGTACATATGGATTTTGTATTCTTTTCTATAATGTTTCTGTAATGTTTTTGAGTAAGACTAAATTCTTTAGGGAATGCCACGTTTGACCATGACTTTGCCCTGACTGCCATCTGTGGGACCTTTGGCATTGAGTATACCACTTCCAGAGCACCTCCACACATACTCTGTTCTCCATGTGTGTAAGCCTTAGACATTTCTTAGGTGACTAGTATTTTGTTCTGATGGGAGCCCTGATGGAGATTTGTGCAGGCAAAGCTTGCTCTAAAAAGTCCAGGTAAAAGTATAATCTAGCAAGATAGTGGCTAGAGAAAGGAAGTTTCCATGAAACTCAAGACATACCCCCTCATTCTTAGTTGCTTAGTAAGGAACACCCCCAAAAGTGTATTTATGTAATGAAGTGTATTTATGTGATGAATAGGTAAAACTTTGACATAATCTTATTCTTTCAGGAAGCACAAAACCCTCGCTCTAATTAAAGATGGCCGTGTTATTGGTGGTATCTGTTTCCGTATGTTCCCATCCCAAGGATTCACAGAGATTGTTTTCTGTGCTGTAACATCAAATGAGCAAGTCAAGGTAAGGGTAACCCAAGGTCTCAGAAGAAAAGCATAAGGGTAACCCAAGGTCTCAGAAGAAAAGCAGAATGTGGGGCTTCTCACTAAAGCTGCAGAGCTTAGAAGATCTCTCTGTGCCATGTACAGAGAAGGTTCAAAGTGGAGTTCAGGACTTTCTAAGAAGAGTCCTCTCATGCAAGTGTATGTGTACATGTGTGAGGAGAGTAAATGGTTCCATGTACCAACAAGTAGGGTTGTGCCAAGGCTTTGTTGGAGCTTGGGACAAGGTACAGGGACACCTTACAACCCACTATGCAACTCAGGTGTAGTCTATAGCAAATGAAGGGATGTTTGAAAATAAATCTCAGTGCTCACTGCTAATTTACACACACACACACACACACACACACACACACCTGCTACACTGAACCACCAGAAAGGATATGGTTGATGTAGATTAGGCACCTTACACATCAGAAAGATTTCTTATGACCCTTTAGGGACAAGGCCTAAAGAAATTCTCTAAGGGAAGTCATGAAAAATTTATAAATAATTTTTAGAAGTATTCATGTAGGGCTTGGAATGTGTTACAGTTTTTTGTTTGGGTTCCCCCCCCCCAAGTTACTAATATACTTTCCGAATTGTCCTTGGCATAGGTCCCCTCCTCCCTGGGAACTGTGGCTCTGTTTTATTGGTATGTCAGTTGGTATCACAGCCTGGTTGGAAGAAACTAAACTCCCAGCTGGCAGAAAGAGCTGTCATCTAGACTTTGTCATGTTCTACTCTGCTGCTCTTAGAAAAAGGGAACCAGAAAATGTGTCCTTAGAAAATTATTCATCTAATATTTTGGGGGTCCTAAAAATATCATGCAAAAATATGGTAGGTAGTGGAAAGGTAAGCAGCTCAGGATTAGATGGCTGCTGAGAAAAATAATTGGAAAGCCCTAACGCAATGTCATTCAATAGAAATATAATGTCATCTACAAACATGTGCTTTTAAATTTGTAGCAGCTACATTAAAAAAAAAAAGCAAGTGGAAACAGGTGAGATAAATTTTTAAAATTTACTTTATTTTACCTATTATATCCGACGTATTGCAATTATAACAGGTATTCAATGTCACGAAGGATTATTGAGACCTCTGTTTTGTACTGAGCCTTTGACATGAAGTGTGCATTTTACACTTACAGCACATCTCAATTTGGACTAGCCGCATCTCAAGTGCTCAAAAGGCACATGTGGCCTGTAGCTCCTGTATTGTGCAGGTCTAAGGACAATGTTGACTTCTTCAGCTTCAAAGCAGCAATGGCATTTATAAAAACCAAAACTAAGTCACTAGAAGGAATCATTCTCCGCTTGAGGGCTACAGCCAATGCTGTGTTGCTTTGCTTTCATTAATAACTTACTCTCTGGTCATAGTGCCAGTTGTAGATGCTGTGATGTATTTATTCTCACAAAGCACAAGTGGAGCTTTTTGTCTTTCACTTCTCGCACTATAGGCAGCAGAGGGCAAGTGCAATTCAGCAGTCTTGTGTTCATCATTCTGACTGGGGAAGGTGAAGATCCAAATTTGCTTGAAACCAATCTCTGGCTCTTTTTCAAGGAATTCTGACAATATGTCTTTAGATGGTGCTGTTGCTGTGTTTATCTTTCTTTTCCCCCCTAGCCAAAGTGAGAAACGTTCAGATGTTTGCCAGTGTCCAGAGTATAGGACCTTACTTAAAGGAAAATTTTGTTTGACTTTTCATAGGGAGAACACCTGGAAAATATGTGCTTGGTTTGTAATTTCAGAAAAAGATTGCATAATTTTTGTTTCAAAGATAGCTACACAAAATGCCTTGTTTGGAAAGGTTGGTTAAGGTTGACTTGGACACTTTTAGGGATACCAGAGGGAATCTGAAGTTATTTAATATGAATTGGATATTTTGTCTTCATACTTCCCAGAAGGGCAATTTATTTTTTTTCCCAAACCATGTAATTTTCTGGAGACTTGAAAGAAGGTGGCCAAACATCACAAACTCAGTAGAAAGAACTAGAAAAAAAATCACTTCTTGTAAGTGACTTGAAACTGTAGTTTTTAGAAAATGATTAGTCTTTCAGAACTAAACAGAATAGATGAGTTTGATGGAAGTTGTGTGTGCGTGTGTGCGTGTGTGTGCGTGTGTGTGTGTTATAATGTTAATCTGCCATTTAGTAGAAATAGAAATTGGAGAAATGGTTCTTCCATTAATTTCCTGGTCTTTTCACTGTCCTGTGTCATTAGTTAATGATTGATGAACAACTCCTGAAACGTAGCACTGCCTGGGTGCTTGTAGTCTAAGATAAATATAACTGAGCTTCGCCAGCTCATCAGCACTGGACAACAGGAATTAAACTAGATGGGTCCCAGTGGCAGTAGCACCTATTGCTGGGAACAACAAATTCACAAGTAAAGGTTTTCAATGTTTATTTACTATTTAAAAAATCTTGGTGAAATAGTACTTTAAAATTTGTATCTGGTCATTTTGGAGAATCAAGCGTATGTACAAATTTATGTAAATGCTTTAATAGTTGTGTTTGAGTTTATCTTGCTCAAAGCACATGCAAGAGAATAACATGTGAGAATTTACTTGAAGCTCCTCGCCTGGTTTTATTTATTTATTTATTTTGGTGGCATTTTGGAGAATCAAGCGTATGTACAAATTTATGTAAATGCTTTAATAGTTGTGTTTGAGTTTATCTTGCTCAAAGCACATGCAAGAGAGTAACATGTGAGAATTTACTTGAAGCTCCTCGCCTGGTTTTATTTATTTATTTATTTTGGTGGCTGGCTGGTATGGGCTCACCTGGTTTTAGAATACTGTATCTTGTCATCTAAAAACTATTTGGATTTGATATTTGTGCAACTTTAAAATTACATAGCTAATACTTGTTTACCATAATGAATATTTAAGTAAACACTGAGGTTATCACATGAATTTGGAAAAGAATCTTTTTGGTGGCAGTTAAGAATAAAGGTGTGCAAACAAGGAAATAGTTCTGAGGTTAAAATCTAAACATTTGCTTGTAATAGCTTTATGTTGCCAGCGCTTCTCTAACCGAGGAGATATTTAAGCTACACTCCTGCCAGTCACAGTGCTAGATACAGAGGAGGTTCGAGTTAAATATACACAATCCATGCTCACAAGCAACTTGGAATCTGGAAAATTTCTCTGAAGAGATGACAAATTAGTGGACCCTGATGAGAAATATCTTATGTAAGTTTTGAGAAGCTATTTACCAAAGGAACCATCATCGCTGTTCTCGAGTAAAATTAATTAGATTGTGGGTGAAGGGGAGGAAATTTGTAGTTCTGTTAACTCCTGAAAAGATGGTGCATAGAACAAAATCCTAGCTTTCTTGCATCAACCACATCTATGTTAAAGTCTTTCATCAGAAGACACATTTCTTATTAATTTCTAGGCATTACTTTTCTTATGCTTATGCACATCTCTCCAACTAACCAACCCTTCCCTTTCCTCCAATTTTTAAAAATTTTTCGTTTAGAGTATTTTTCAATTACATAAGTCACACACAAATACATTTTCAGATAAAGCAAAATGGGAATTTCCCCTCCCCTCCACCATCCCGTTATTGTCAGCCTGGCATACATCCTTCCAGCTATTTTTCTATTGATTTATATATGTTGGAATGAGTGACTATGTTTTGTTGTTGTTTATGTAAATGGAATTTATACTGTATGTATTGCCTTACTTTTTTTTTTTTAAAAAACTTAACATTGTATCTTAGAGATGTTTCAACTTTATGCATAAATATGGTTATTTAAATTTATATTTATGTCAATTAAATTAAATTTAAAATTCAGTTCCTCAGTCACTTGAGTACTCAATAGCCACATATGACTAATGGCTACCATATTGGGTAGCATGAATAAAGAATATTTTCATCGTTGCAGAAATTTCTATTAATGCTAATATAGAACTATTTTATTCTTTTTATATAGTATTTCATAATGCAGTTGCACCATAATTTATGTAATCATTTCCCGATTGAAGACATCTATGTTTATTTCCTGTAATTTTCTATCACCAACAATACTCGATTTGGAAATGTTTTTCTGGACACTGAGAAGCAGAATTGCTGTATGAATGAATATGGCTGGTCCGAATTTAAAAATTTATTTCCAGATTGCCCTCTCAGTTGGTTTGCCAACGTATACTTTCACCTGTGCTATTGGAGAGTATCATTTCCTCCACTCCTTCCTGACATTGGGCACCATCAACCTTAAAAATATTTGCATGCATTTGAGTGAAATATTGCATTTTATGATGGAGTACTCTGATTTCTATTACTTTTATATTTATTGGTAATATGTATTGCTTGTTCCTATGTTTGACAATTTTTCTTTTAGGCTCTCTCTATTTTGTATTGATTATATAGAAGATATTTATGTATTCTTGATATTAAATGATTGTAACATATGTTGCAACAATACCCTCCTAACTTGTCATTTGTCTTACGTTTATGGTATCTTAAATTACTTATGGTCTCTTGAAGAAGTGTTAAAATTTGAAGTAGTCTACTTAATAATCAGTCTTTTCTTTCATGCTTTTGCATTTTATGTTTTCTTTAAGAAGGCTTTTTGCACTCCTAGGTTATATACCCACTTTTCCTATCTTTTTATATTACTTCTGTAAAGTTCATTTTACCTTACATTTGTTCATTTAATTTATTTTTGTTTCTTTTCTTTTCTAAATTTTTATTTATGTATTTATTTATTTATTTATTTTTACAGTTAGATTTACAATTGATCTCCATCCCTTGTTTTTTTCATTTCATAAGCTCTATTAAGGCCTAATTGAAGCATCTTCTTTTTCTTCTATCCACCCCTTTAATTATCTTCTGAGCCTTTTCGCTAGAGTAAGTACAAAGACATCACTGTACCAATGCTACACAATAGAAATATAATGCAAGCCTCAGGTGCAAGTCACATATATAGTTTTAAAATTTTTAGTAGCCATATTAAAAAAAGTAAAAAGAAACAAGTGAAGTTAATTTTGATTTTTTTAACCTAGTAGTACAAAATATTGTCATATCAACATGTAATAAGTACAAAATATTAATAATGAGAATTTTTTTTTCCTGGTGTGTTTTGTACTTCTATCACATTTCAATTTGGACTGGACACATTTCAGTTGCTCAATAGCCACATGAGGCTAGTGGCTACCATACTGAACAGTTTAGCTCTATACTGTCATTATGTGTTTATATGTTTATCTTCCCCATTTTACTATCATCTTCTCAAGGAGAGAGATACAGGTTGAGCGTACCTAATCTATAACTTTAAAATGCTCCAAAATTTGGAACTTTTTGAGTGCCTACATCATGCTCAAAGGATGCATCATGCTCATAGGAGCTTTTTTTTTTTCAAATTTTTGGATTAAGGATGGCCAACATGTTACGTACCTGCAAATATTCCAATATCCAAAATATTTGAAATCTGAAACTCTTCTGGTCCCAAGCATTTCAAATAAGGCTTATTCAACCTGTATTTCATTTGTCTTTTTATCCAAGTTTTATTCCAACTCATGGTGTTTCAGTATTTGATATGTTTGAGAAAAGCTAAAATGGCCTTAAGGGTAACATCGATGGAAGAATTATTTCCAGAAGAGGGAGATGATGATGCTATTCTCCTATTTACTGGACAGACCATCCCCTGATTGTTGTTATGCTTTGCCCTTACATACATGCTTTAGAAAGGCATCATAATGTTGGAGAAAGCCTTGAAAAAAAGGATTAGATTGATAAATGGTCTTCCAGTCATGCCATATGATTGTCCCTTGATGATGCTTGGCTTGGACTTGAGAGGTAGGGATGGATATGAGTGAAAGACTAAATACTTCAAGGGCTTGAAAAGCTAGCTGTTAAAAGCAGGAATGAGTCTTTGTAACTCTAGAAATAGAACTAAGGGAGAAATGAGTAGAAATAACAAGGGGCCAGATCTTGGGTGACCATGAGGAAGAACTTTCCAATCATATAATGGTTGAAAATGAATTGGTCTGTCTCAGGACCAAGTGATCACCTGCATTTGGAGGTATTGTAGCAGATTACCTATTCATGACAGATGGCAAAAGATTTCTGGCCTCACATGGGATAGGGAGTTAGACTAAATAACTTTTAAAAGTCCTCCTGCCCTTAAATTACTATGATTCCATGAGATCATACCTGTGAACATATTTGAATTCTTCAGAAAAATGTGTCACCAAATTCTAGAATATTTGTGTGAAGATAGTTGTGTCTGGATGCTTGGATTTACTTTAATTTCTTTTTATGAGCTTCTGAAACAATCGCATTAAATTTATAGATTTTTCTCTAAGCTCTGTATGTCACTGAACACTGGTACTTCCCTATTTTTTTTTTTCTTCATATTTTGATTACTAATTCATTCAACATTGTTCACTGTCTTTAGTTACTTCCTAATGTTTGCTGGCTGGATCAGAGATTCTGGGCTTCTCAGACCTTGCTTGTAAGGGTCTGATAGTACCAAGTTGAGAATCATATGTGTGTGATGGTACGATTCTTTAGAAGGTTGCTGATTTGTGGTATACAGCAAACACTGGGATTAGTAAATATTCTAGTGAAGATTAGCACTTTTCATTTACATGGCTCTTTTCATCTCATATTCTCAAATAATTTAAAGATAAGCAGGAATTCAGAATCAACATTTACTCAGACACTTTCAGGATTAAACTAACAGTTTGTAGCCTTGGTATTTTATTTTCAAAGAACCCCAAGCTTGTTTTCAAATGATGATTTTATCTCAAATTGGCAATTTTCAATTTTTTGGTTTTGTGGCTCATTTGCAAAGTAGACATGCAAGAAAGGGTGTTAATATCGTATTTCCTTTAGCAAAGGCCCTGGTTGGTATAATATATCAAAGTACAAACTTCTAAATTTGTCAACATTTTCTGGTGAACTTATGGGACAATTTTTCCTCTAGAACCTAATATATTTGTCCGTTTACTAACTTCCACACAGGGCTATGGAACGCATCTCATGAATCATTTGAAAGAATATCATATAAAACACGATATCCTGAACTTTCTCACATATGCAGATGAATATGCAATTGGATACTTCAAGAAACAGGTAGGTTTCTCACTGTGCAGCACTGTTCTGTCATTTCTTAATGTGCAGTCAGGTGGCCTTCATCCAAATAAGTTCCCCCCTCCCCCATATGCTCTACTTAGAGGTACACATGTTTATTTTGTAAGCCTATGCCAGAAATAAGCTTCATACTGATTTAAAGAGTGTTTCTGGGACATTGTAAGTACTAAATAACTTTGTTGAGGGAATAAATGAATGTCATCTATAAGTGAAGTATAATAATGCATCCTGACATTCTAAGATATGGTATCCCCAGACTAAGGAGAAATTCCCAGTCCTGGGTGGGTAGAGTTCTGCATAAATGAGAAGAATGGATTCAGTCTCTGGAAGCCGTCCATTTATGACAGCAGAGCAGTCCTGAAGTTTACAAAGGACTACAAACCATCCTGGTTCTGCAGCACTTGGCAGGCTAGGAGCTTGGCTGCCGTCTCTGTACTTTCTTATCAGAAGATTACAGCTCAGCTCTTTGCAGATTATTCTTTGGCTGCATATTATTTCAATAATAATTTAGAATTCCTAAACATTTTTCGTTTGCTTTTCTGGCCACAAAAATAATGTATAGTCATTGTAGAAATTTTGGAAAATGTAGTGAAGCACAAAGAAGAAAAATTGCTTGTAATTCTACCATCCAGAGAAATTTACTGTTCATGCTTTGATATGTACCTTACTAATATTTTTTCTGTGCGAATGTATATATAATTATAAAAATTGGCTCATACTGTGTATATAATTTAGTTACGTGCCTTTTTCACTTAATGTTCTGATTATTTTTAAATATAATTTTTGATGGTTTACTGGGATTTTGTTGTATAAATAGAAAACTATTTAACCAATACCACATCTTTGGATATTTGGGTGTTTCTTATATGTAAGTATACATGTGTGCATGTGTGTACATGTGCTTGCGTGTGTGTATGTGTGCATGTGTGTGTTTTGCCCTCATTGATGGTAATGTGCTTAGAATAAATGTGTAGAAGTAGAGTTGCTTCCAGACATTTTTAAGGCTTTTGTTATATATTGCCAAACAGTGTAACAATTTCTGTTCTTATCTGCAATATATAATGGGACTCAGGAAAATAATTGATTATTAAAAAAAACCTTTTTACCCCTTTCCCAGGTAAAAAATTGTATGTTTGAATTTATTTGGTCATTATGAGGTTTCACTTATTTTTTCATGTTTATCAACCCTTTGTATTTCTTCTTTTTTTTGGATTGCCAATTCATCGTATTTTGCCTCTTTTTCTATTAACATATTTAGTTTTACATCAATTTATGAGAACTATTTGTATATAAATGTTAATGGTTTATATTTGTTTCAACATTCCTTATAGTTTTTATTAATCTACAGAATTTTAAAGATTTTACTACATAAAATCTATTAACATTAAAAAAAATATGTCCATATATGATTAGAAAGCTTTTCTTGCTCTGATGGCAGATAATTAATCTCGTCTTTATTTTCACATTCTTTGGGATGTGCTTGTGACCTTTATGATAAAACTCACTTAAAAGAACTCAATGGGATTGTTTTGCTGGGAGCTTGAATGTCAGCTGTTCTAGGCTGTAACTATATTGCAAAGCACGAAATCTCAGCCATGGTTCTTAAATAACTTGGCAATTGTCCTCTTTGAGGATGATGGCAATAATTGCTTGGAAAATAAGTTTTTGCTGAAAGGCCAGGCAGGAAACTGCTGGTCATAGTTCTGATATCCAACTAATTTAACTGAAATAGACACTTTAAGGAAGATTATATTTATATTAAAAATATATTATTTTTAATTTTGAATATATACCCTGTATCACTCTGTTATTATAGCTTAAAATATGTAAATGAGTATATTGCAGAGCATTAATGTCACTGAAATAACCACACATTGTGACGGTCTGGAAGTTATTTGCCTGCAAGGAAGGGGTTTCAGTTCCTCAATAGCAAGGTTGTAATTGCTTCTTTTTTTTTTTTTTTTAAGATGACTGGTAAGGGGATCTTAACCCTTGACTTGGTGTTGTCAGCACCACACTCTCCAAAGCGAGCCACGGGCCGGCCCTGTAACTGCTACATTTTTTACAAACTTTTCTTTCAAGATGGATATCAATGTTAGTTATTGATTTGTTGAGAATCCTGGGGATCCTCTCCCCACTTTGGGGGCAATTTATATCAGTTATGTTTATTAGGTAATTCAATGCAAAATTAAACCTAATTTTTCCTTAATACCCATTTCGGTTTCAAACTTGTTTGTTTGTTTACTAGTTTATTATAAAGCATTTAAACTTTTTAATATTATTTGTGTTTCATTGGGGTTATTTTTTTTTAATGTTGTCTTGGTTTATATTTGATTTTTGATGTTTTTGAACTTCATGTGTGATTTTTCAAGTGAATCCTATTCAGAATAATACAATGAGAACTTGAAAGAAGCATGTTTTGGTTCCTCGCACAGTGCCTGGTACATTGTTCGCATTTGATAAATATTTGTTGCAGTGTTCATATGAATGAATTTATTTCCTTTGCAGGGTTTCTCCAAAGAAATTAAAATACCTAAAACCAAATATGTTGGTTACATCAAGGATTATGAAGGAGCCACTTTAATGGGATGTGAGCTAAATCCACGAATCCCATATACAGAATTTTCTGTCATCATTAAAAAGCAGAAGGAGGTGAGCAGGTGGTCGACTCATGTTCCTTCCATCCCGGCCAGCTGAGTGAGAGTGGGCTGCATTTCACTGGGTTTGGTGTGTACAGGTTGACTGGATTTCATAATCTCAGTTAGCTATGGTTCTTCTAGATTTCTTTTTTCAAGGTATCCTTGATCTGTCACCTCTGTAGGTCACCATTGCTAAGAGATCAGTAGTTGTTAAATTGATGTAAAATGCAAAATGTGTAAAGTACTGGTGACACATTTTAACTTCTCCTTCAAAACCTTTACGTTCTGGCCTCAGTGATTCTTCCCAGTTCTATCTCTTTGCCTTCATCTCCACACTCTTCTCCTAAGGCCATTATTACCAGTGCTTTAGTCCTCTTGTTTGGTGTCTTCATCCATTGCCCACCCCCTTTGCCCAACACGCAAGCAAATCAAACCATTTCAGCCCGTGCTGCAGCTCTTCCTTTGAACTTCTCTAGCACTGGTTTGCTTCACCTATTTGAATTTCAGTTATTCATCTTACATAGACATTATCTTAGTGTGTATTAATCTCTCCTTTTACACGGTGGGTTCTGAAGGCTCACATTTCTAGGTGTTAAGTGATTTGTTATCTGATGTTGAGATGACATCTTTTATGCAAATGAGCTAAAAGACAGGCAGTAAAGGGAAAGGTTGATAGATCTGATTATGCAGTAATTTTAAATTACTCTAAGGCAGGAAAAAAAAAAAAGAACCCTTTAAAAAGAGGATTGGGAAGTACACAAAGGCCATTTGTTAAACGAACAAACTTTGTGTGTTGAGCCAAGGATCGCCTCCTCGCTCTCCCAAGTTTTTTGGAGTTCAGGAACTGGAAGTTTGCACCAGTGTCATCTCACATCATTTCCACTTGATGCTTCTGTTATCCATTCTAGTGCATGGTTCTATCACAGATAACTGAAGAAGACATCTGTCTTAAGTCCATCTTTGTTTAATGGTTTCTACTAATGTCTTTAATCCCAGTACTTAGTTATTTGTCAGGCATTACCAACATAACAGCCATAAAGCTGCTTTCACAGTGTCTGGTGCATAGTAATTATCCATTAAGTATTTTCGTTTTACTTAAAGTGGCTCAAATTTGTTCTTATGCCTCCCGTGGAAGTGAGCAAAAGGCATTTTTCCCCCCTAAATTAGAAAATAAAAAGCAACTTTTGTTGCTTCTTGGCCAAAGATGTCAGCCTAAGAGAGAATTCCAAATAGAGCACTTGGAAGAGTTAATAAAGCACAGCAGCTCCTCTCTCTCCCTGTCTGTCTCTGAAGAGCTGGCTTTCCTCATTGTTCTCTTTGGGGCTTAATGAGCAGCTCTGGATTCAGCAGCACATTGTTCTGCATTAGAGGCTGCTGGCCAACTAAAGCCGTCACCGTGCTGTCAGCTACCCTTTCCTCGTTCCTCCTCTTGGCAGCATCAATTCACCCCCATGGTGTCAGCTGGGAGCAGGATTCCCTTGGCAGAGTCTGCAACCTCAACTGTACATGATCTGTTGGCCCTTCTTACTAAAGAGGAAAGCCAGAAACACTGAGCTATTTTAGATGGCTAGCAAAGCAGTGAACTTTTTAGAAGTTGACTCCCCCTTCTTTTTTCTCCTCTCCTCTTGGATCCCTTCTCTCTCCCCACTTACCCCCTTCCCTGCCTCCAGTCTTCTCTCACATAGACCATAGCATGGATCGTGGAGGTTTGGAGCTGTTAACCTAGTTCTTTTAAAAGAGCTCCGAAGTTTTCATATAAAATAACATATTTGGATTCACATACTATCTTCTTCCACAGAATTCAAATAATTGTTATAAGTATCATTTATTCCAACCAACTGTGAAAAACTTCTTGAGGAAAGTAGGGACTAATGGTGGTAGCAAACAAACTGTAAATATATTGAGGACTTTTCTAGCCCCTAAAAGCATATAAGAACAGAGTAAGCTGTAGTTGTCATTAGTGGAGATGGAAGGAGAAGACTAGTGCAGTTGGACAGGTGGACCAGAGAGTGGAGAGTTAACTACTTTGTGAGTGTTGGGAGGGTGGGATCTGCAGGGGCCTAGTGTCATCTGAGATGGCTTCATGAGAGATTTGCTTTGAACTGGAAAGCCTGGTAATGGAATCAGCATGAGCACAGGCTCAGGGTCCAATGTAAGTAGATTCGTGGGCATATGAATAGGTAGGATCACGCGTATGTGGGTGATGAAAGGCTCTATTTGAGAAAGTGTGAATAGGCTATGTGCAAGCAGGATTGGGTGTATATGTGCCTGTGTATGTATGTGTGTATGTGTGTGTGTGTGCAGGTGTGTGCAGGTAGGCTGGGGGTAGAGGGCGGATAATTCTTAGATCTTAATCCACATGTGAGACTACAAAGGACTGGGTTTGGAGGAGCCAGAGGGCAAATCAGTGTACTCTTTTTTGTAAGGAAACTTGCTAAAACTTGGTGACGTGTTAGAGATGGGGACACCTCCTCAAATTTTGTTTTGGGATGCTGTAAAACTGACAGCAATATTTCATAGGACTGAGGCATGGGTTTAAGGAGAGGAAGATGAGGACATACTTTCATTTGAAGGCATTCATTTTGAGATCGTGGTGGGGAGTTGAAGCAAAGACATTTTCTAGGGAGGAAGATAAGACACTTGAACACAAGTAAAATGTCTCCTTTATCCAAATTGATCCTTGTGGGCACAGAGAGGTTAGGAAGCCTTTCATTCTTATTAACAGTCAGTTTTCAGGAGTCCACAGTCTTCAAATGCTTCATGAGGTTGTGGAAGCCACCTGGTAGTTCATTACATTTGAGAACCCCTTGGTAATGAGAGGAAAACTTTTCAAATTGAAACATAGTCCTCAATATATTTTATGAAGGTATTCATTGAAGATATTGCACATGGGATTCATTTTAAAAAACACTTGGAGTTATAAATAAGTGAAGGGAGAGCCTCCATCTTGCTCGGCCCTTTCCAAAGTGGTGGCCAGTAGCCACATGTGGCCACTGAGTACATGATACGTGGCTAATCAAAATTGAGAAGTGTTGTAAGTATAAAATCCTCCGATTCTGAAGACAGTATGGGTAAAGGAATGTAAAATATCTGATCATTTTTTCCTGTTGATTATATATTACAATGATACTTTGGATCTACTGGATTAAATAAAATATATAATTAAAATCATTTTCACCTTTTTCCTTTTTCCTTTTTAAAAAATATGGCTACTAGAAAATTTTAAATTACATGAGTGGCTTGCATTATATTTCTATTTGACAGTACTGATCTAGATTTTTCAAGATTATGCTTTTGCCATCCTGTTCATTTTATGAAGTTCTTTATTTAACTATTAGGATAACATATTCATGCTGCAGGATTTACCAGCCATGTGTTTGAAATCATGCAGTGAGGAACTAGAATTTTTTGCTTTCCTTTGTGAATTCAGTTCGTGACTTCTACTGTTTTGTTTTTTTCTTTTCCAAGGGAAAACTATCTTGGAAATAGTTACCCCAGTACATTAGGAATTATTTAGCAAAACAAACGTTTCTCAGAATTCCCTGAATCAGCCCTGGTGGCTCAGGTCATGGTTGTATTATTTTAGCAGATGATACTTTAGAGCTGCTTTTTTGATGCAAGCAGCATAGGTTGGGGCTCAAGCTTTGAAAAGTTTAAATAATAGCTAAAGCTCGGCTATGACTATTCAAGGATTTTGGGACTTTCTGAGGCCTGTTCATCTCTCTTCCAGTCTGAAGGGAACAGTTTCTGGTTATGTGATGTGAAGAGGTCTGTGGCTTGACTGCATAGTGAATGCTCAGGGCTGCTTTCCTGTAATTCCGGCAGTGGCTCCTCCGAGAAGCAGGGCAAAATAATTGGCTCTTATGTTAAAGATGACAAGTGGCCTGTTCATCTCTCTTCCAGTCTGAAGGGAACAGTTTCTGGTTATGTGATGTGAAGAGGTCTGTCGCTTGACTGCATAGTGAATGCTCAGGGCTGCTTTCCTGTAATTCTGGCAGTGGCTCCTCCGAGAAGCAGGGCAAAATAATTGGCTCTTATGTTAAAGATGACAAGTGGGCCCTAGGGGCAGTGTGTGCTCTCAACATATTGGCTTTTCTGGATGGCAGGGACAAATCATTCAAAGATGGTTGTGTGACTGTCACTAAATGGGCATGGTATAGTAGAATGTTTTTATTTCTTACCTGTTAAATAGCATTCACCCTTTTGTCCCATTTTGTTTCATTAAAAAGACTATCTTTTATTAGGAAAACATTTCCTTAGGTTGACTGACTTGAACTCTATCCATAGACTTCTTTCACTAAACACATTTTCTTCCTGTGCTTTACAGATAATTAAAAAGCTGATAGAAAGAAAACAGGCCCAGATTCGGAAAGTCTACCCTGGACTTTCATGTTTTAAAGACGGAGTTCGACAGATTCCTATAGAAAGCATCCCTGGAATTAGTATGTATAGACCTCCTTTTAAAAGCAAAATCTTTTGGTAATGCCATGAGTTGTGTTTGAAACAATTTCCAGAGTGCAGTAATTTGAAAAGCTTTATTGTCCTGCCTGAATCCTTTTGTGTTATTTTTAGTCTTTTAGGAAGGTGGCAAATGCTTTCCATTTATGTCTTTTCTCTACCTTCCAACTCAAACAAACCAAGGAGAGCTTAGATACCCCCTTGTTTTAGCCATTAATATCCAGCATTTATTAAGAGCATGCCAGTTGTAACACAGTGCTAGGAACTACCCATATATGACCTTGAAGGTAGGGGAATTCTGATTTTACAAATGGGGAAATTGAGTCTCAGGATGGTTACATCATTTAACGTTAAATGGCACATACCCAGTAACTGTCAGAATTTTGAAACAGCCTAATTCTGATCTCCAAACATCCTGCCGTCTGTACCATGTCTCATTGCAATCATGGTTGCAACCTGCAGAGATCTGTGCTTGGCTAAATCAGTTTTCCCACACTTCTAAAACAGGTTTTTTGCCATGTGTGTTGGAAATCATAAAATTGTTTCAAGTTCCATATTTTGCAGTAGTTTTCTTAAGGATTCTTTTCTGTGAGTATGTTAGAGATGAATTGTGTTGGGTTAAACCATATATAACATAGCTGTTTTTGTAATTCAAAAGCTATTGAATATGATTTGGCAATTTTATTTGGTTCAAATCTGGGTTCTTCTAGTATATTAAAGATTTAATAAACAAAACAAAATCAAACAAACTAAAATTCTCCAGAAAAAATAAGATGTTTGGGTAAAATATATCATTTCATTATATCTATCCTCTAGCAGATCCTTTATTGCTAAATACAGAAACCCTTCTTTCCTATATTATCCCTTTTAATGGCATAATAGCTACCATATCATGGAATGCCTACTTGTGCTAGGCATTCTTCTATGTTTTTTTACACACATCAACTAATCTCAAAAGGGATAACATCACCTGATTTTTAGAGGTCTGTTTTGTAGATTGATAAACTAAGAGGCAAGAGGTTACGTAACTTATTTAGGGTAAATTAACTTTCAAGGGGAGAGCAGGAAATCAACTCCAGATCTATCAGCCACCAGGCTCTGTTTTCTATCTGCTACTTTAAACCATTTCGCATTATAAGCAGGGTTTTGGCCAAATAAAATAGATACCAGGACAGAGTTTGTTCTGACCTAAAATAACAACTTAACTTTTTCACAGGATGATTAGCAAAAAAATCGACCTACAGTTTAAAGTACATGTGTCCGAAGTATTGGACTTATTTTTTATGCTTTCTTCTGAAAGGTTAGAGTTCCTGTGTTGAAAAACAGTAACATATAGGGCAGGATTGTCAGTATTGGAAATGTTTCGTATTATTAGCTATATAAGGAAGTAACTAACTGCCGTTAATTTCAGTCTCTTCCCCCAAATAGAGTTTTACCGAGGCATGGCTGTAATTTATTATGCTTTTGATAAGTATTGACTGTATTATTCTCTTGACCAAAAGCAGTTCTCATTCAGTGTTTAATTTCATTGATGTATAGGAGAGACAGGCTGGAAACCGAATGGAAAAGAGAAAAAGTAAGTATGATGGGCAAGAGGATGTTAATTGAAGTGATTTTTTTTCTTTCCTAGCAACTAAGAGAAAAAGGGCAAATTAATTATAACCACTAATGCAACAGTGTGGGCTTCAATTTTCATAAAAAATTCTGGAATGGTTTCCTTTTTAGGTTTTTGTAAGAATGGTTTCAGTTTTAGGTTTTTGTGAGAATCGGCTGGCAGAAGTGTGAAAAACTAATGATTGCTCCTTGTCGTTTACTCTTCTCCTTTCAAGCAAAGAGCCCAAAGACCCTGACCAGCTCTACAGCACGCTCAAGAGCATCCTCCAGCAAGTGAAGGTGGGTGGCCTCTTCATTTGCCTCGTGCAAATATTTTGAAATGATTTCCCACATGGAATTTCCATATTAGATACCTTACTTTTTTCTTTACCCAAGAGCCATCAAAGCGCTTGGCCCTTCATGGAACCTGTGAAGAGAACAGAAGCTCCAGGATATTATGAAGTTATAAGGTTCCCCATGGGTAATGCCATTAACGTTTTCTAAGTATAGATTTAAAATTCTCTGGATGGCGGTGTGGGGGACAGATGGTTGCGGAGGTTGATTTGTACTCCTCTCTTGGAGGGTAGCAAGTGTGAGAAGGGGGGGTGGGATTCCATGTGCCCATGGGGGCAGGGGGCAGTGATGTCAGAGCAGAAAGATAAAGGAGAGGTGGGTGGCTGTGTTCGTTAGAGACTTTCTGCAGCTGTCTTCTAGAACCCGTATGGACTCAACAACAATAGCAGCAGAAGAAAGTCCAGGTGGGGAACTGCAGACAGTACTAGATAATGAAGTGGGCAGTTGGGATATAACCTTGTTTATAGGTTGCCTCTTGATATGGTTGAGTCTGTTTATCATAAATGGCTATTCCTTTTAAGAATTTTTGAAGGTAATACGAAAGAAGTTAGATTAAGCTGCTTGACTGCTGTACTTTCAGAGGGAGAAATTCTAGTTAATGCCAGTTCTTGATTTTCCATGTTCTTGCTGGGTAGTTAGTGTCACTATGTATACTGTTCATTTTAAGTTTTGTCCCACATCCAAAGACAAACAAAAAGATACCTTCAGAAATGTAGAATTGTGGAATTTGCTGTACTATGCTAAAATGATTAATTGCATCAACTGAGAGCCCCCAGATTAAACCAGTTTGGCATTTTGCAGATGATAGACAACTAGCTGAAATGTTTTCTTTTCCATCAGTTGTGTGGCTGTTTTTTGGAGAAAGTCAAAGTCTTCTGTCCCTTTTCTTTCTTTCTTTTTTTTTTTTTCCTTTTTACTGACCAGTAACGGGATCACAACCCTCGGTGTCGCGCCCGTACCGGGGACCGGCAACAGGATCGCAACCCTCGGTGTTGCGCCCGCACCTCGCTCAGCCAGTGAGCGGGAACCGGTCTCCACATGGGATCCGAACCCTTGGTGGGAGTGCCGCCGCGCTCCCAAGCGGCACACTCTCCAGTGCGCCACCGGGCCAGCCCATGTCCCTTTTCTACTTGTAATCTATTCCAGGTGCCAAGAATGGTAAAATGTGAAAAGGAAGGATGAAAGTGATCCATTAGCTCCTTGATAACTGAGAGTTGTTTACAGGTGTTTTCTGTGGTGTTAATTTTCACATGAATTTTGTATATAGTTGTAGGAATGATTTAAGTAGCCTGTACTTTTTAAAGTGAACATACATCTATGTGCTTTTCTTTCCTTCTTTGCTCTGCCTCGCTACTATTTATTTTAGTACAAGAAAACCAAAAGGGAGGGTTGACTAAGTCTTATTTTCCACCAAGTGAAAAATATGTTAAAGACCTTTGTGTCCATTTCCAACCTTAAGTTAACTTATTTTTGCATCTTCACCCTCTGGACCATTTCAACCTCTTTTGTGAAACCCTCATGGGAATGTTTGAGTTTGGGGAGATAATTCTCTTTCAGCCCCTGTCCACATGCAGTGGTAGATCTAGCAAATTCCATCTGTCTTGGTCCAGCCTGAGAAGTGTGAGAGCTTCTCCAAGTGGATACCACCTGTATGCATAGCTGAGTGCCAGTGAGGGGAAAATTGACCCCTTTGAGCATGGCCAGTGATGGGCTGAGATGTATGCTAAACAAAGTTAATTACAACCATAAATAATGCTCTTTAATGGAGCAACAATTTTTTTCTTGGGGTACCTTTAGATGCTGAACAAAATATGTAGTCTTGCCCTTAAGATGGTCATTTATTTGAAGATAAGACTGAAAAATTAATAATTTTACATTTTTTTCTTATTGACTTCCTGGATTTTATAAAAACGTTTCTTCTCTTTCCCTCATGTCCTAAAAAAAAACTCTTTCTCTCATAAGGAGGGGATCTAACCTATTTCAGTTCTGGAGGTGCACACTGGATATTGTCTGAGTGGTCTGGCCCAAGCATGACTACTTACTACTTGTGGATTGCTAGTCAGGGTTTTCCTGTATGTCCAGAATTCCCACGTTGGGGCAGGGAGGAGAATGAAAATAGAATAATTTAACCGTATCTCCATATTTGGTACCACCAATATTTAGTCAGTTTTCTTTTTTTTTCTTTAATTGTATTTTTTACTTGTTTGTTTTTTTAAATTGTATTTTTGTTTGTTTGTTTTTGGTGGCTGGCCTGTATAGGGACCGAATCCTGGACCTTGGTGTTATCAGCACCATGCTCTAACCATCTGAGCTACCGGCCAACCTACCTTCTTTTTTTTAACTCATGTTATTTGGTCAATTGAAAGAATCCAAGAAGGCTAGGGAAAGAAAGATGTTCTCTACAGTTTTAAAACAGAAAGGAAATAAAGACAGGAAGGGTTTAGAATTGGTCAAAGTTATTCAGAAAGGTCCAAACACCTGTTTTAGTTCTTGCTTTGTTTCTGCTCCATTTTAGGTTCTCCCCATTTCTTCTTATCCCCTTTCTCCCAAAAAAAAAAAGTTTCAAAGCTTTTGGAGAAACTTCTTTGTATCAAGTTTCATTCTTTTTCCTCCTTACTTTTCTTCCTTCCTTCCTTCCTTCCTTCCTTCCTTCCTTCCTTCCTTCCTTCCTTCCTTCCTTCCTTCCTTCCTTCCTTC